AAATATTTATTTTTTCACCTTAATATTGAAAAAGCACCCTAATTTTTAAGTCGAAAATTCTTCCGCTTTTTTAAAAAAGTCGGTGGGCCTTTTGTTCACTGAAATCTCTACTTTCTGATGGTGTAAAAAAATATATACATTACTATGGTAAATGTTCTCAGAAAATTCAAAGAAACGAAAAAAAACTTGAATCTGAAAATTATTTTAATCAATTTTGAGCTATTTATTAAAATTTTCTCGAAAAACGTAAGATTCCATATGTTACATTGATAAACAAAAAAATTACAAATCCATAAAACATAAACATTGCAAAAAAACATGCGAAAATAGTTGTTCTAAATATTAAAGATAGGATTTAAAGGGGATTTCATCTAAAAAATGTGACTGCTGCAAATTTTTTCAATAAAAAAGTTGATTTATTAAATTTAATTACATTTATATCATAGAAAATCTTATAATAGGGGAAGCCGGGGCATAAGGGACAATCATAATTCTCGATTAAATAAATTTTACTAAAAATAACAAGTCGAGTTACATTTCTTACATGTTTATAATAAAAAAAATATATATATTCAATTATTAATACAAAGGTTAACTTAATGTCATATATTTGCTCGTTTTACCCCGGCCTGGGGGCAGAATGGGCGCACGGGAAAGTTTGTTGGTATTTATTTAAAAAAAATCACAACTATGGGAACGCTCATCATCGTCTTCTATGGAGCATGAACATGAACAATGGGTCCATTTCTGGCATTGACGACACGTCACCCAATCTTCATCGGAATGCAAGTAAAAATATATAAAATAGAAACATTAAAAATCATCTTCGACATCCTCTTCAGAATCGCTATTCTTTTACCTCGTTCTTGGCTATTTATCTTGAGGTTTTATTCTGTTTGTTATGTTGATGTGGTACAACATGACATTTTTTATTGTTAAAACTCTGTGTATAGTCGAAGAATTTCCTCTTTTTATTCTTTGCTAGGGTCGCTAGATTACCGAAAGTGAAAAGCGTGACGACAAAACGTTAGGTTCAAATATCAAGCATTTTTATATAATCAGGTCCATTTTTTGTGAAATTTAAAAACAAAAACGTCCTCTGAACCGATACAAAGAAAAACACCAAATTTTAAACTTAAGCTTTATTCCGACGTCCAATGAACTGATTAGATTTTGGACAGAGTCGAATCTGGGGGGGTACTTTATTGGTGGTCATTTTTATATTTTATGGAATATATCTGTTATTTACGTTTGGAGAAGAAAATTTTTTAAATAAAAGTTACTTACAATATTATTATCAATATTTTTTGTCCCATACAAAATTTTCCTAAAATGGTCCGTATTCGAGAAATTTGACAAAATGTAAAAAAAATATTTTTTATAAAAATTGTTCAAATAAAAGTTGTTCGTAATATAATTCTCTATAATTTTTATTCAATACATAATTTTTCTAAAATGGACCGTATTTGAGATATTTGAGAAAATGTGTAAATTTTGAATTTTGAAGAAAGCTCAAAAACGGATAAAGGAAAAAACATTAAATTTTAAACATGAGTTTTATTTCGGCTTGACGTGAAATGATTAGATTTTGGACAAAGTCGGAACATCTGAGGGGGGGGGGGTACTTTATGGGAGGCCGTTCTTATATTTTATGAAATATATCTGTTATTTATGTTTGGAGAAGAAAATTGTTCAAATAAAAGTTACTTCTAATATTATTATCTATAATTTTTGCTTTATGTCAAAATTTTCTGAAATGGTCCGTATTCGAGAAATTTGACAAAATGTGCAAAATTCTGATTTTTATGAAAATTGTTGAACTAAAAGTTGTTTGCGATATCGATCTCTATAATTTTTGTTTATACATGATTTTTCTAAAATGGACCGTAATGGAAAAATTGTAGGAAAAGTGCTAAATTTAAATTTTTCAGTATTTTCGTTTTCAATGAATATCTATAGAAAAATGTTTCGAGTTAGATATATGTGGAAAATGTATATATTTAGTTTATCCTCTAAACATTTATAGAGGTGCTACAATAATTTGTACAAAATAACCGGAAAAAGCCTATAATAACTAGATAGGAAAGTCATGTGTTGGACACATCAGATTTTTATCAAGTGAAATAGGGCTAATACCCGTTATACCCCGGCTTCCCCTATATAAATACACAAATCGTACTATTTAGATACTTTATACTGATTACGTTATTATAATATTTTTAAATACATTAGAGGGGTTGAAGGTGTTACTTATCCATGCCGTACGCCACTGGCAAAGTTTATTTGACTGATTTTTCTGCTGATAGGTGTATCTTATGACACGAATTTTTTTTACCAAATTTAGTGAAATTATACTGAGAAATAAAAAAAATTATAGCTATTAATATTTTTTTCAATTTTCAACTTAAACACAATTTTTTTAGGAAATTAATAATATTTTATACAAGCGTGTTTCGTTTAATCATCCTATTTTTAATCAGAAAATCTTCAGTTGTTCTGTGACCCATTCTTAATTTTTGGTAATGTTAATTAAAAATAGTAAAACGTTTGGTGGAAATTATTATTTTTTTTTTGTAATTTTTGATACTCTTCTTTTTTTCGTTAGTTGCGATCTGTCAAATATTATAAAATGTTGATATTGTAATTCTCAAAATCTTGAGCTATAGTGGCCATTAGATCATTTAAATCCTATGATTGGTTTTCAAGATTAAACTTTAGAAATACCACTGCTTATTCCGGGAGTAAGCTAATTTATTGTAATTTTTTTTGTAACATTTTTTTGGCATTTTACGAATATAACCTCTACAGAGTGAGTCGCAAATAAGTATATATTTTTGATAATTCGTTTTATTCTTCTAGGAAGTGAATAATTTACTAAAAAATAAATAATTGTTAGAATTACTACTTTTAAAATATTCTACTTACTACAGGGTGAACCCTAAGTTGATACTAATTTTTTAACTAACCCTGTATGTACAGGGTGATTAGTAAATACTGACGTAGGACAGTATGTTTTTTTTAATTATTGTAAGATTTTACTTGACTTTTTTGTATTTGTTAGCTACAGGGTGATTTACTAAATAGATCAACAACTAATTATACGAATGTCTCAATAAATAATATTTGTTTAATCATCCTGTACTTTTTGATTGGTCATTTAAAGGTATATAGAGTGATTTTTTTATTATTTAGTTTACGCAAAATATTTTATGGAATCAAAAAAAAATACGATTTATCTAATATTACAAAAAATAATATGTTAATAACGAAATATTGTATTTATTATTAGGTAAATTACTTTAACAGATAAAGACCCAGTTACAGAGTAAGATAATACAATTAAATTAAAATTATACTAATTGATTAAACAGCAGGTGAAAAAAAAGCTATCTAACATTTCTTGAATACAAATAATATAAATTTCCAAAGAAACAACAACCTCTTGTGGTAGGTATTATCTTTGAACATTCTTACAGAAATGACGCCTAATATTATGAATTCAATAATTTATTCAGTCAATAAAGCTTACAACACTGGTATAAAAAAATAATAAAATTTTCCTCTTATATTTTTTATAAATATAGAGAATGAATATTGCAAAAAAGTGCCGAGTCGTTTTATTTTCCTTCAATAATATCCTTCTCCTTTGACATTTTCCTAATTGTTGTTTTTCTTTTCAGTGAATATCCGTAAAACATTTTTAATCGCCGCAAATATTTCGAGTTAATCGGTAGAACGATATCAATGGTTTGAGCTCATGTTCATTTCACCTCTAACAATAAAGACGTTTGATCCTAGAATGTATATGTCCATTGATGTTCATTGTAGCGTCTTCGGATGTACCTTCTCGGATTAAATGGACAAGGCTGCAGATATACTGGCCTGCGATACGTCTATTTTGAAAAATCTAACGTATCAAAGGGTTGATATAGAATTGAATATGATACGATGATCATTAATATCGTCGGGATTAGAAGATTGTCCGGACGCGAGTATATCGGGAAAATTACTGAAAATAATGGATATTATGGAAAAATGAAAGAAATACTGGATCAATAATGGGACGAAGAGAAAAGGAGAAATGACTGGTCTCAAATGTAAGTCTTTTCTTAATCTATTTCTGGATTTCTAATTAATTTTTATTTGTATCGAAATTTCTTGTATTCATTAATGCAAGAAAGTCCAATGTCTCATAAAAAAATATTTTAAATCAAAGTTATATGGTGTTTTTATTGTATATTTATAAAATACTTTGAAATATACAAAATATTTAGTTACAGCGGGACATTAATTTCATTGTAAAATTTAATGTGCATCGTCATTTTTTTTAAGTCCGCGACGTTGTCTACTTTTTGTTAAAATGGTATAATTTACTAAATAAATATTTCAAACTTTGGTATTTGCACGATCCTACGCTGGGCATATGCGGTTACCGTTTCATAAATGAAAAAAAAAAAAGAAAGAAAAATTACAATATAACAATGTGATGCAGTTTTTATTAATTAAACGTTTTTATGAATGAGATTTGTTTATTTTAATTTCCTATCAATTTTATTCATACTTTCTCTAAGAAACGGCCTCTAGAAAATTATCAAACAGATAAGTAATAAGAAATAAAAGTCCAGTTAAAAATATAATTTATTGTCATTCACCTATTTACAAACACTCTCACAATATAAAAACATCTACCTTAGCACTTATAACATAGTGATGTAAATATATTTACATTACATTATTACATATAAATAAAATAGTTGACAACAAAAAATAAAGCTTCGAAATAAAACACTTAGTATAGTATACAATAACTGGTCCATACTCAACATATTTTTTGTATATTAAATTTCATCAGAGATTCGATAGTAAATTGGAAAATGATGTATTTATTCGTTTGTAAATTCAATTATAAATATATTTTTTAAATAAATAATTATATAATTACATGAGTTTCTAAAAATATTTTAAAGTTATTTTAAAATAATCATCTTTCAGAAAATAATATTGATGGCTCTTTTAAAGTCAAACTACAAAGTTATTTAATTTCAACAACAAAAAAATTAACTATAATATCTGTCAGACCTTTGAAGTTAAATTTTTGAAATCCACCAGTAGAAATATATTTTTTAGAACATTTTGGTTTCCATAGAAAATTTTTGAACGGTTCTAGGGTTTTTGAAGTGTTTCCCAGAAAGAAAATTATGATTTTTTTATTATTTTCTTAGCTAGTGTTCGATGGAACATATTTTATTCACTGATTTGAATATTTCTAGGACTTCGAGTTCAAGCGTAGCAGCACTGTAGTCATCACGATTCATATCGAAGGTAAGTACTCATTTTTACTCAAACTCCAAAATTGTATCGCGGACATTGGCATACACGCTATAGAGGTATTTTGATTTAAAAAAATCATCAGATCTATGTTCAAATTAAACAAATTTTAATAACAATCTAAAAAGTATAGTAATCTACTTGAATTGATAATATCTTATCGCACATTCGGATAAATTATTAGTCGTACCCTCGCCTTGTATTACAAACTCTATCCTCATGAATAATAGACAACATTAAACGTTTGCTGAATCGATAATTTAAATAAACAGTATATTTATTATAAATATTGCAAAAATCGCAAAATATATTTAACCTTTTTTTTTAACGCAAAACCTATTTGATTCTTAAACTTCTTTGTTTATTCATATTAGTCAGCATTAAGGATATGTAGGACGTTAATAGATCGTCCATTTTGTAACCTAATGAAGTTTCGCACAACAGTTTTGAGCCCCTTACTAAGTTTCCTATCGTCATGTGGAAGTACGTGTTACCCGAAGACCAATTAGATATTCTGGTGAAGGGGTGGGTTACTAATATCTCCTAAAACAAAAAAAATAAACGATTAATAATATTATTCTTCGTTGTTGTCCTACATGATTATTTCACCCTGTAGTTTGCATGATTCATACTGATCAGTACAAAAAACCTCCAAGATAACACAATTTCTATATAACCACAACCACCCTACGGTATGTGAATGATTCATTGCATTATTTGATTTATTAGATTGGGAAAAATTAAGTAAATTAGGAAAGATAGACTTATGTCTCTTCCTAAGTAAATTCCTATCTAAGTAATTGACTTATTTAAACGAAAATCCAGTCTATGTTGATTTAAAAAATCTTTTTTCCAAATTTCTCGGAATTCACCCAAAATCTCTCTCTAACTCTTTGAGAAACGAAACACGCGAAGATATTTCCATAAACTGGAATTCATACAAAAGATAGACAAACAGGTACTTGAATCGCTAAATAAAAAATATCCTACAGCCAATAATTGCAAGTATCTAAATGCACTGATTATGAACAAGGATGTAGAAATATTTCTCTCTAGACAATTTAAAACTGATCGTTTTTTGACAGAACTACAAATTTTTTTGAGAAACTTCCATTTTCCTTTAATGAATTTTTTTATTGTCATAATGGTGTAGATAGGAAAATGTGGGAGGTCTCTCGGATTCAGATAGAACATTAAAAAATTAAATGACAAGTTTTTTGAATGTTAATTTTTTAATTTTTAACTTCAAGATTTAACCTATTCTAAGCACTCTGGGAATAAAAACGTCTAATGAAAAAATAATCTTGTTTTTACCAAAGTTAATACTGATTGATAACAGTTATATAATCATGACAATACATCTTAGAGTTCGAATATTCCCACAGATTTAATTGTATTTCCTGTTTTCGAATAATAACGCGACTGACATGTTAATTATTTATGTGTTTGCATTATTTTTAATTAATGTTATTAATTTTATCTTTTTATTATATGGAAAATAGATTGCTCTGACGTGAGGTCACTAAAAAAAATAGATACCTAATGGTAATAATTAAAATTAGTCTATTAAAAAAGAGTAGGTAGATAAAAACTGTAAAATCAGCAAAACGCGACATAATAAGGCCTGAAATGTTAAATAATTCAGAAAACAAAAATATGTTTATTTAAATTTTTTACTCAATAGTTTTTTATATGTACTGTGTGTCTGTAACCACTTAGTATTTTGTTCATACAATATATCAACCCTTTCGGTAACCATGGTCCTTTACAGGGCCATATTTACCACTAGACACACATTATATAATAGGCAATTGCCCAGGAGAGAGAAGCTCCAAAGGGCACCGGAGCTTTGGTATTAATTGATACCTGAGAAAATCGAAAAACATGAAAAACAGATATTTAAATGACATTTTTTTTTAATAAATAAGTACTTCGCACAGTAGTCTTTGAAGATGCCAATGAAGGCAACAGAGCACCTAGGGAAATTTGACTCGAAACCTAGGCTATTTTAAGGCCCCTATTCAAAAATTTTGTAAGAGCATTATTCGAATTTTCTGGATTTTCAAGAGATTTCCCGGAGTTTTCTCTAATCTGTAAGCACTTAATCTTGCCTCCCTCTGTATCGGAATTATTGTTTCTGTGAGTGTTGCTGTGATTGTGCCCGTTATTCCAATACAGGCAAGTCTTTATATCTATCAGGTCTCGTTATTGCCATTTTTTTGTATATCCAATATACCATGCCTGGTTTCAATCCCCAATTTTGTCCAAAAGAGCGTCTTGCCTTCACTAGTAATGTTTCTGCTTTGCTTGTTGTTCTTTCCAAATGTTTAGTCCAAATAAGTTTCGACTCAATTGTAACCCTGATATATGCCTGCCTCGGAATAACGGGGGCAATGAAAACAACTCCCACAGCTGCAATGGAAGCACTAATAGGACTCCTACCTCTTCACTATGTGATACAAGGGGAGGGAAGATTAGGTGCTACAGATTAGGGAATACACTGGAAAATCTTGACATTAGGCCAGGTCACATGAATATCTCAAGTGACAGGAGACGTGCTAGACATGAGATCAGACCACATAACCAAGAGGTACTCTTTTAATACTCTATTTGAGGTTTTAATACAGGAAAGAGCGAAGATCACCATAAGGGAGCCCAATGCCCAACGACAGGAACAAACCTGGTAGACATACGGGTCTAAGACTGCGGAAGGCACTGGGGCAGGTGTATTTTCCAAAAACCCTGATACTAACCATAGCTATGCTATAAGAATACATTCCTCGGTATTTTAGGCCGAGGTATACGCAATTTTGCAATGTGCAAAAACGAACAATGAAAGAGCTGTCGAAAATCAGCATATTCAAATAATGTCAGACAGCCAAACGGCACTTAAGGCTATATCGAGTCAGAAGTTACGTCGAGGCTGGTATGGGAATGCATAGAAGAACTAAGAACACTGGCAGACCGAAATAGAGTAAAATTATGTTGGGTGCCAGGTCACCAAGGGATCGAAAGCAACGAAAAGGCTGACGAACTTGCAAAAAGAGAGTCAGAAGAAACATCGGAACCAGACACAAACCCAGGAGTACCAAAAAGTACAGTCCGGGGTTTCATAAACGACTGGATTCGGGAACAATATATTAACCCCAAAATAGGCACATAAAAAAGCCTTCATAGGCAGACAATGTTCAAAAAGAACTGGAGAACTACTCTTTATGAATAGGAACCAGTTGAAAGTGATAACAGGGTTCATGACTGGGCACGCCCTAGTAAAGGGACACTTGAACAAAATTGGCATGTACAATGGGGAACTCATGTATCGACTATGTCACTAGAAACGGTCAAACACATACTGTATGAATACGAAGGTCTAGATCAGACAGGCAATCCAGGTCACACATGTGTCCTCGATTCCTCTATATTTCAGTGTTTTGACGATAGAGTTGATCGAGGAATTGTCAAATGCTCTTTCGATGTCCAAGGAAGCTCCAAACAGTACCTCTTTATTTTCCAGTTTATTCTCCACTTCTTTTACTAATTGAAGAAGAGCTGTTTCTGCACTGTGGGCGCATTGGTTCTGGTTTATTGATCTTTGAACCAATAACCCGCCTCTAATATGTCTATCTAGCAATTTCTCTAAAGTTTTGAGTACGAAAGACATTAGTCTTATTGTTCTTGGGAACTTGGCATATGCTTTTGGCATGTATCCAAATGCCAGACTACTTCTGAGAACACTGCAGTGTCTTCTGTATAAATTATCGGGTCCTCTTTATATCATTACTGGGTAAATCCCATCAGGTCACGATGATTTGTAAGGTTCAAATGATTGACCATTTCAGTTTGTCAAAATTCACCTCTTGTAGCAATCTACTAATCTTTCCTGGTGGCCTCTTTACGAGCTTCCAGTCCAATTGGACTCTAGTGTGTGATTATCTAATTTCTTCATTCTGCTCTTGTGTACTCTCCTAATTCGTTCTTAAGAGCTTTCTATCTCCTAACAGAGCCTCATCCAGGAATCTTTCTTGATTTTCCGAAGGCTTAGTTGTAACTAATCAGTATGGTGCTATATTCCTTCAATTTCCCTGTTACTTCACTACATTTTTCATTTAGGGTATACTATAATCAAGTGAAATAATTTTTTTAAATCGATAATATATAAATAAAATACTGGTGTGGTCAGTCTAAAGTAAGACACTGTATGTTGATTTGGTGTAATTTAAAGATTTGATATTTAGCATAAGGGCATTAACGCTCAAAAGGGCACAAGGATTCGAAAAAGAGGACAGCATAAGCCTGTGAAAAAAATGTTCTGTTAACACGTTAAGTGCCATACTGTGTTGTCATTTGGACTTTTGAAGTACAACCAAAACGTATTAGTCTAAAACATAATGATATTTACCTTGGTATGTGGATGTATAAGACTAACTCCATGCTTATTGATAGCAATCAGCAACATTTCCGGATAATTGGGATCTGTGGTCTGCTTCACTTCAAAGAACGCCGATCCGAAAGTGGGCCAACGATACACTATTTTCAAAAACGTGATTTTGGCGTCCTCCGGACTCATGCCGGCATCTTGGTTATACGCCGCCACTATGGATCTCTTCCAATCGTTTGCGCTTTGCAGTTTGTGAAGATCGGACGGTATTAATTCCCTTATCATTTGTCTGCAACAAAGTTTTATGCGAATCAAAAATATTTTCAAGGCAAATATATAAACATGTTATTTACAACGTTATTCAATACGTCCCTGGAATTTAATTATTCAATTTTGAACTATTTTATATTTTTACTTTTAAATTTCTTACGGTATGGCTTGCAGTTCTTGCTTACTCTCTCCAAATCTGACTCTGTACACTAAAGCAGCCAATTTGTTAGCTTCTTCTTTAGTACACTTGTGATATCCCCTAATCAGTTTGGGCAGTTCTTGGTGAAAGTGGAAAATCAAATCTGCATTTCTATCTTTACCTAAAATAACAAATTCAAATTAAATATAATCGATATAAAAAAATTACAAATTTAAACGTCAAATTGAAAACAAAACAAACAGGCTATTGTCATTCTCACTCAGTTATCAAGCTTTTTACCTGGCACGGTATTCGTCCACAGTTTTTTCATAAAGAAAACTTGGTAAGAAAATTGAGGAGTAATGCCATCTCTTGTTGGACGAGCTTTTCGTATCCAATCTGTCAAATGTCTCACGAAATCAAAGAAGAAATCTCCTTCGGGTACTGAAATTACCTGGAATAAAATTTGTTTTGTTATGTAGAAAAATCCATAAAATAATTGTTTAAAACACATTTTAAACATAACTTAAATCTAAATTCAAGGACCGGTCCTGTGCTTAATCCACAGGTGTTCATGGTCTACGTGATTGAAAGAGTGTAAGCGAAAAAGTTTCAAGGCCAACCACTTTTAACCCGTGTATATATGCATCTCTCTTTATTGAAGAGTCTTGTCCGAACACTCATACGGTTCGAACGGGCTAGAATAAAAATTCGGCCACTGACCGCTTTGTAATAATTTATTTTCTGAACAACGATATCAAATTACCAATGTAGTATTAACATAAAAGAATAAGTTTGTAAATAAGTTTGTAAATAAGTAAGTTTGTAAATAAGTAAGTTTGTAAACAAGTGTAAATAAGTGTAACAGTGTTCACCATTATAAAATAAAATGTTTGCATAAATAGGTGGCTTTTCATTATATGTGAAAATGTCACAAATCAACACCAAATGAATCAGTCCACTAGATAAGCGAGCTCTATTCAGGGCCGTACTCACAGGTTGAATTGGATTCTTATAAATGGTAATTCAGACAATAATAATGAAAGAACTAACTTTATCTGCAATTTTAACAAACAAGCTAAATCCTTCGCTGGATCGTAAATTGAGCCTCTGACTGATATTTTGACAGAAATCCTTAGCCCTCGTGCTAGAATCAACTTCGAACGCTTCGTCGGTATCGTCAGGGAAATACACTTTGTGGAATATCTGGGTGGTTTTGTGTTGAATAGCTTCGACTTCTACTTGATGAGGTGGGTATTTTCTTTGTCCGTTTCTTAGCGTTTTCTGTAATCTCTGTAAGGAGTCTTGGGAAATTGGATGTCGTCTACTTCTAAGGAATAAGGTGAGTTCTTTCAGGAGGCTTTGTGAACAGCTGAAGAGACCCGTTGCTAACCACATTAGTTCCCAACCTCGTTCTTCAGATAGCCTGAAATATAAATGGCCTTAGTAGAATTTAGGAGCAACATATATTACGTAAAATAATTTAAGAGAGACAAAGATGGAGAAAAACTTTGGACAGACCACAAATTTAGTCAGAGTTAGTACTAAAATGTCATCAAGCCCTGGTGGAAGTATCTGGGGAAGAAGATAGATAACCAAATTCTTTGTCATTGGACAACATCTGTGACAAACCTAATTAAAGATGGGAGAATGTCCCAAAACAAGCTTAAAAAGAACAGAACTACTATCTATGAAAAGGAACCAGTTGAAAACAACAGGATTCATTATGGAGCAGGTTCCAGTAAAGGGACATGTGAACAAAATAGGCATGTACAATGGAGATTTTGAACAACATAGCTTGATCCAAAAGCCTACAGAATACATTGTGCCATGGGACAAAGGTGACAGAGTGGGTACTATGAACTAACACGGAGTTAAACACAATAATTAAGTATCGGAGACTAAGTCAGACGAGCCTAGGAAAAATTAAATTATATAACAGTCCCTTGCAATATTTAAGGAAAGGTGTAATGAAAGAAGAAGTTGTAGAGTTTCTAGGAAGCTCTTAAGTTGGCCTAATAACATATCGACAAACAAATTCTTGTTTATGTCTAGACAGATTCTGCACATAATAATAGGCATTCTGACTAGCATTCATAATTCGCATTGTGCAGGGAGTGTAAACAAGAAGAAGACTATCGAGCATATCTTTTATTATCTCTCTAAATATTAACCTAGTGGTACCCTATCGGCGATGTTAACTGAATTAAATTTGTAGGCTGACTGACAGGTTAAGAGCAGATACATCGACACAAAAGGATAAAAATTCTTATTGAGATCTAAATACTGTGGGGACAACCAACCTTCCCCACCTTACAAATAGAGAGATACAGGTGGAGAAGAAAAACCAATATGGCATTTTTGGAATCAGATATGAAACCATCTATAAGGATTATATAAAGCCTAAGTCGATAATTTGAACAATTTCTTGGGGCTACGATAGGCTAAGATACTTCTGGGTGAAAAAAGATCGGAAGCCTGTATCAGCCTGAGCAATAACAGACTACGTATTGTAACAGGGGCCATTCTGATTGAGTGTAGCACTCCAGAATACAAGGGCACTATACCTAGAAGCATATCAAATAGAAAAGGAAGATTTACCTAACTTAAAACCACTTCAAATCCTACACTTCCTTGAGAAAATCGAACTAGAAGGGTCGTTATAGGCATTGAGATATTTCCTTGCTGAATTAGCGACAGAAGGTGGCACAATAGATCTTTTAACGCCCCATAGAGAAAAATATATGTAAAACAGCGTTTCAAAAACGAATTGGTTATATTTCTTGATATAACTTTCGGGAAAGAGAGTGAATAATCAGAATGTTGATTACCTATTTCGATTGTCAGTCAGCTGCTTCATGATCTGACAATATATCTCGTCCCTAAGTATCTCGTGCTTTAGGGGTCCATCGAAAATGTGATCGGTGTATTCGTTCCCCATCCTGGGCCTTTTCGACGGTAAATCCCCCATGTACTTCAAGATGGCGCTGAAGGCGAAACAAGCTTCCTCCGCTAGTTCCTCCTTCGCTAACAGTTTCTTCAGAAGGGGTTGCTTGATGGGATCGCGGGAGTGTCTCCATAGGTCGTCTGCGCTTCTACGACCGGAGGTTAGGGTGAGGGCTTTCGACATGGTTCTCTTCACCGGCGGCCGGAAGTGATCTATGGCATAATCGGCTAGGTTGTGGGGGCGGTCTCTGGTTTCTGTTCCGTTGACTGAGTATTGTTGGCTTAGTCGACGACTGTGTTCCGCCCCTGGAAATTAAATAAAAATATGTATAGTGGTTTTCGTCCAAAAATGTATTATTTAAAAAAAGTGAAGAAACGGAAAGATATGTATATTTTTTCTAAATTGCGACCCGTTTTGAGGTTAACTTTACAACAATTTCTAAAGGTGTTACTTGGAAAGGCGCGACTGAGACCTACTGTAAACGACAGGCAGCAAGTAGCAAATCCGAAAACAGTCTCTTTACGTCTGGACACATGTATGAAAGACATTTGAGAAGGCGCGACTGACGACAGCACTTTTAGTACGGCAATATTTGCTGCTGTCGTCTGCCTTGGTCTCGCATTCCCAAATAGTAGCTTTAGGGTAGGCATATACCGAAATTTTTTTTGTAAAATATGAAATATTTACATGATTTATTGTTCATTAATAATTTATGCAAAAGATGATACAAATTAAAATTAATGGAAATCAATGAGGGTCTAGTTTCTGTCAAAATTGAATGAATAATATTTAAAGTAAATAAATTTTATATAAACTACTATTGAATCATTTAGATCAGTTTGAGAAATTTAACAGTTCATTTGAACTACTTCTACAGGTATTTTGAAGAATTTTCTATAAAAAGGATATAATAAATATTTAATGCTAATTAATGTAATTTATAAACAGACTGTGAACCGACCATACGTTTCTTGTCATCAATACAAATTAGGTAATTTCTCTTTAAATTTATTTATGACTTTAAATTTGAAACGAATACATTTTAAAAAATAACTTTCACGGTTTAAAATGACTCCGTATTGAATGTTTTCAATAAAATTCGAATTATTTCTTTATTCGGTATCCAATTAAAGCTTTCTATATAGGTACTTGTTTATATATTTTTTGTTTTCTACAGACAACAAAACGAACTAATTTGTATTAAATAAAGAAATTAATTTCTTTTTCGATATTTTAATCTGAAATGGAATCTTAAAAAAACGCGTTGAAAATGAGATTAAATTTGATAATAAATAAAATCGGTAGGTAAAGTAAAAAGAGTGGACTGATGTTACACTCAACTGAATACTAGCTGCAAATAAAATATTGTATGTTTTAATGTTCTGCTAGGACCCTTTTTGTAAGAATTTATTGCTATTGTTTCAGTGCTTGAGTTGTAGAACTCACAAAAACTGAAGGTATGATGAAAATAATTTATATAGTACGTTAACTTTCCAATATTGTCTTCAGGAGAACAGTATAGAAAAGCAATGCTATTGAATAGACAGAAAAAGAATAATACATCACTGACTGCGGATCGCTTTATCCTCTCCCACAATCGTTTTTATCTTCTTAATCACGAAGACAAAAAAGACTATAGTTAAAACACAATTGGAAGATTAATGGATATGCAGATATGATACTGCCATTTTTTATAAAGCTGATATTTGGCAACAATTGAAAGAAAAAGTTGAAATAAACATTAAATTAATTAAAACTGATTTAACCTCAAACTACTGACAATGAATCTAAACAAAACCAAAGTTTTGCCTTTCAATTTAACGGTACTAACCTAAAAGTAAATAAATATCGACATTTACGGTAAAATATAGGTATAGCATTAAAGTGGAAACGGAAAAATTGTTTTTAACAACTGATTTACCACTAAACAAAATTATTACAATAATTGAAATATGTAGAACCAACAGAAATATCCAAAGAGTAACACAAAAACAAATAACCAAATCAGATATGTACTTAGGTCGTAGATAATTACTAAATAATTACAAAATCACTGGGAACTCTCAAGCAGGCGAGCGAGGCGATTCAGTTCTGATAATTGATATAGGCAACCAATGGCGTATATACGTAATTTTCGTGGATTTTCTCCAAATACTTCGCTAAACATCGCGTAGCTGTGCTATTTATGATTGAGTCGACAGGATCGTGTAGCGTTCTACTGGTGGGGAGTTTAATGGGCCAGATTGCCTCACAAATGCGCATTGATTAGCAAAAATGTATTTTTAAACCAAATTTTAACCTTTAATCTAAATGTTTACTACAAGAAATGTGCTTATGTTAGGTATTTTGAAAAAGATTAAGATGATCAATCTATATAAATATATATCATTGTTAAAATTGGGGTTTGTATGTTAATTTCCTCAGGCAACCATTTGCTTTGGAATGCTTTGGTATTGAACTAGTCGATTATATTTAAAATGTTCTCTCTACCTCGTACATATAGGACATTTATTCCTTTTTCATAACAGTTTACTACTGTTAATAGCCTTTACCAAGGCTATAAAGCAATTAAAACACTTATATGAAAGGCAGTTCATTATGCATGTAAATTACTTAATGAAATGTTTAACGATTTAATTGCAGATATAAAATAATTCTCATTCACTATAATATTTCACACCAAACGAATTTAAAAATAAAAACAACACAATAAGTACATAATAAAATCTGACAAAATGAACAAGTGAAGAGTCAATTAAAATTACATAAATAAATGTTCAAGTTTATTGGCAAGTTAATTTACTTTTCTAGATTAATATAGAATTTATTGATTTAGTTTCGGTACTTTCATATGGCTTGATTTTCTAGTCTGATAAGTTTTTTTTTAAACATTGTAAAAATGTAAAAAAATACTATATTGACGAATAAATTCTTATTTATTTTATAGTTTGATTCAAATTTAAGATTTTTTCAAAATGTGGACCTAATAAAAATTTATTGATTCTATACAAAAATCGGTCATTTTAATGTATATTTAATCTTATAAACTAAAAAATATACCTACTGACAAATAGTTTGACAGAATTGTCACGTATTTAAATTTTTGTTCAAACTATGAACTGTGATTGGTGGATTTCATTTTTTTGCAGTGTTCTCACTACCTAGAACGGATATGAAATATATTCGTTCAGTTGAACGGAATAGCATACTTTTTCGTTCTGTAGATAAGTTAATATCCGTATGGGTGTAGAAAAAATATTTCTAAACTAGGCCATGGAAAAAATCACGTATGTCGGGGCCTACAGTTCTTTTTTAATTGACACTTTCGATTTAATTCAGAGGCGTTTGTAGTTATCACGGACGTGACTCGTATCTCTGTCTTTGTCCTACTTGAGAAACATTTTCTGTTAAACTAATCTGATTTCAAAAGTGCACTATACTACTCTATATTATAAGAATCTTTGTAATAAATGATAATTAGACAATCAATCAAAACACAATTAAAGTTGTTTTTCATAATTGACAATTTTCTATTTTATTAAAATTGAAACGAATGTGAAAAACATATTTTCATCAATTTCTTTGATTATGTGAAGAGAATCCTTATATAAGCATAAACTTTTACTGTAACCCTTCAAATGAGGTGTCACTTGACTCCCTTTGCAATTTAAAAAAAAATATGAGAATGTTGCTGTTACCTTTTTTGTGTTTAAGCTTTTTCTATACTTTTTAAAATAAACGAGTTGACAAGTAATTATACGGCTATTATTTCACAAACACCTTATACACACGATTATAGGGTGAAAGAAGGTAACATTTAATAAATTTGCATACAATGTTATTAAAACCGCTGTTTAATTTTACAGATATTTATCTCTTGTAAAAGGAAGAAGAATAATAATGGTAAGTCTACTATGCTAATGTATTGCAACCTTTCAAGGACGATATCAAAAATAAACGGTGACATTTAAGTCGGGAATAGTTATGTTAATGCGCTCATTGCATATCATTATTCATTATGTTCGGTTTATCATATTCACCAGATTTAGTACCTAGTGACTGACTTATTCAGTTTTTTTCAAATACCAAAGATTCGTAAAAGCAAATATTTAAATTTCTTTACTTAATATTAATATTAAAATTTCTGTGAACCCCCAAAATTTTGGACACAAGCCGCCACTAAAAGTGAATATATTTCAAGTTTTCCATATTTTTATATCTCGAAATCACATTTTTTATGTATGAATTGAATATCTCGAAAAATTTCACTTTAAAGAATTGAAACAAGAATATATTATTTCCATTATTGCAACAATAATGTTTTAGCTAACCACCGTATTCTCCAAATTTAGTATCCATACATTTTCCAAAATAGTTCGGATGAATGCGAGAAAATCATCAAACTGTCATCAAGAGAAAATTTTAAATTTTTATTCAAAGCTTTAAACTATTTTTGAACTTATTGTATATACACTTGATAAGGGTTCCGGGTATTTTTGAAACCAATTTAATAATTATGAGTTTTTCTCTTTAAATACGCGGGTAAATTTTTTTAACTATTATTTTTTTTATAAAATCTACTTACATTGATGTCCCCATCCCATATACATCATTTTGAAAAAAAAAGGTATTCCTAAACCATCACAAATGTAAAATCACAAAATAAAAATCATCCCTCTAGTCCAATCCGATAGTATAAACAAACAAACACATCTGGTCAACCGTACCTAACGTAAAATTATAGCGGTTTAAGTCGATTTCATAATTCATCTAATGAAAATGCCAAAAGTAGTCCGATACCACCAATATTCAACTCACTTTCACTTAAAGAATTCATGACAAATTCGTTCCTATACCTAATCGATCAGTACCCGAGACAAGGTACGTACTTATATCGGTACTTCTTGTAGAAGAAGTAGAAGATAATTTACTGACCTCAAACCATGCGGCTAGATATATACGTGACCTTCACATTTTAATCCATCCCGTGAATTACAAGTATGGGTTGGTCGTCGATTAGATTGTTCTATTGTTTTTTCTTCTAACAGGAGCTATTGGAATGTAATTATTACAATCGTACGCTTTAATCTTGCGAGTTTTAAGGGCTTCCTCATTTAGTAGAAAATATTTATTAAATATATGCAAAACTTTCAACAAAAAATGCATTAGAATGCACCAATGGAACAGTATACATATATCGCAGTAGAAGTGCTGTTCAACATACGACAATATAGAAGTATACCTAAATAACGAAAATATACATAAGCGTGTCATTCCTACAGCAACGATGAAATAAAATAAAACA